CCGTACACATGCCTAATTCCCAACTATCCCAGCATCCTTTGCCTCCATCTTTGCTCAAGCCGGTTCCTTTTTCAACTGTGCCCTCTGCCCACCATCCACTGATATCCTCCAGGGGCTAAATGGGACATCGCTTTCTTTGAGCTGCCTTGCTTTCATGTCTGAACTTGCCTTCAGGGTTCATCCGACGCAGGCAAGGGCCCTATACAGCATTAACCAGAAAGATGGTGAGGGGACAGGGGGATGCACACATGGGGTCTCCATGAGCTGGAATGGACTAGGACAACTAACAACAACTACCCCCTAGGAAGTATAGTCTTTATGCCTCAGTTTACAGATGAGGAACATGCAGTCTCAGAGATGGAAAGTAACTGCTACATAGTTACACAGCTGAAGAATGGTAGATGAACCAAGGACTAATGCCAAAGTCCCTGATGGAGCCATTCTGCAATGTTGATTATTTGTGAGCCTGGGTTTTCATATATTTCTTTAATTTTAAAGATCATGCTCCTGGGTTGAAAGCTTAACTCCAACCCTTTTCATGATCCCACCTGGAGATGGGGGTCTGAGGCTCTGGGAGTCCTTCCCACCAGCCACCTCTTCTTCCTGAAGAAGTACTAAAAAGTGAGGTCTTTGGCTCTATTTCCAGTCAGGCTTGTCAATGCTGTGTCATGGTTTGGTTCTGAAATGGGTTGAAGGAAACGAGGTATGAGGCAGGTGACTTGACCAACCTTATCCACAGTGAAGGCAGGAGTGGAAGGCGAGCTCTGGCTTTGAATACACACATCCATTGCCATGCAGTCAATTCTGACTTACAGCTACTCTACAGCCAGCTCAGAGTCCTGTTGCACTGTGGGCTAGGCAATGGGCTGCTAACCACAAGGTTAGTGGTTCAAATCCACTAGCCACTCTGAGGGAGAAAGATGAGGCTGTCTGCTCCCATAAAGATCTAGTCTTGGAAACCTGATCAAGCATCACTATAAGTAGAATTGACTTAATGGTAGTGTGTTTGGTTTTTATGTTGTTGTTGTTTAGTGTCCTTGAGTCAGTTTCAACTCACCTTGACCGTTTATCGTGTTTCTGAGGAGTGGCTAGTGAATTTGAACTGCCAGCCTTGCAGTTCAAACCAACCCTGCAGTACAGTGCTTATCCTAGAGTGCCACACCAGGGCTCCAACAGCACAGAGTAAAATTGTCCCGCAGGTTTTTAAAGCTATGCATCTTTATAGAAGCAGGCTGCCATATCTTCCTCACCAGGAGTGACTGCGGTTCAAACCATGAACCTTTCGATTAACACTGAACACTTTAACCATTGTGCCACCGGGTTTCCTTCTGGCTTTGAATAAGTATCTCCCATTCCCCTACTTCCCAGTTCATATGTATGTATCTTTGAAGAACCATCGGTAGGAGAGTGAGCATAGTCATGTCACGTCTTTGATACTACGTTGTTGTTGTTAAGTTCCATCAAGTCAGTTCTGACTCATAACGACCCTCTATAGGGTTTCTGAGGAGAAGTTGGTGGCTTTGAACCACTGACCTTGTGGTTAACAGTCCAGTGAGTATCCTATAGCACCATACCAGGACTCAGAAATCAAATCGTTTTGTGGACAAAACTTACTGAGAATATCCTACTTTGGAAATGGAAGTCTTAAGTTATACTGTTTATCCATACTCGATAAAGTACTCTTTGTGGGTAAGAAATTAGTGTGGTGTTTCCCAAACACTCTACAGACATGCAGCCCCCTGGTGGTGTTATAGGATAAGTACTGAATTGCTAACGATAAGGTTGACAGGTCAAATCCCCAGCTGCTCTGTGGGAGAAAATGAGGCTTACTGCTCCTGTAAAGATTTGTTGTTGTTGTTAAGTGCCGTCAAATCTATTCTGACCCACAGAAACCCTGTATAGGGTTTCCGAGGAGCAGCTGGTGAGCCTGAACCATCAACCTTGCAGACTAGTGCATTAACTCACAGTCTCGGAAACCCTATACAGGGTGGTTATGAGTGGGAACTGACTTCCTGACAGTGGGTTTGATTTTATTTTTCTCTGCAGACATGAACTTCTGTTGGGCGAAAAGGGATCCTGTGGGTTAAGTCAGGCTTCTTTGCTGCAGGATTTTTCAGAGCTTTAAAAACATGAATTATCATCATGAATTTCTAAGAAGAGGATAAAGTTCTCAACATTTTGAAAGTTCATTTGGCCATTCACCTTTTCACAGGATCTCTAAGGACTAACATCCCGTAGAATACATTTTGCAAAACCCAGGATCAAGCATTACTAATAAATACTAACGCCTTACGTCACTATAGTGCTTTACAGTTCGATCCTTAAAGACATCTAAGATCTGATCTCATTTCATAGTATTTTCTTGTGGGACAAAGGAGCAGATCATTGAGATTGGTGGGCAGGGATGGTGGGAGGAGCAGCAGGTGGAAGTCGGGTTCCTGGAGCAGCTTTGGGAAAAGGTGGGACAAAGGAACCCCTTCATTAGTTCCTCAGCTCAGCACCCCAGTCTGCCTCAGGAGATGGGGCCTGCATCTTCTAAGGAGTCTCCCGATCTTCCTCACTGCCTCTCACTGGCTTGACCTGAGAGTCCCCTAAGTCTCAGCTGGCACGAGGCTCCAGCCAGGCACTTTCTTAGACTTATTGGGCCAGGAACATAGGCATGGTTGTTGGGGGCCACAGCTTACGAGGTGGTCCTCGGAATGGCTTGAGCCAAGGCTAACCTGGCCACCGGGCTGGATTGCAGAAATTCTGTCATCTCCTAATTCCATTTAGGATGTCCAAGATCAGTGAAAGTGTGCCAGGCCTATGTGCCACTCTTCTCAGGGTAGAAGAGTGCTCTTAAAGGTGGTATTTATCTGATGATGGGATTCCAGGTCCCCTGCAGAGGTGTAAAGGAGATGGTTTTAACCTACAGTGTCTTCCCTGCACCCCAGCAAGTGCTCCACCATAAGTCTGTCCCCATTAAGTGCTCTGCCCTTCTAGGGGAATTACCTCCTTGTGTATCCAGCAGGAAATAACAATTCTGTTCAGAATAAGGAAGCTAATGTTCTGAAAGCACCGGGAGGCCTTAGAAGTATTAACCTGCTGCTACTTAGCATCTGCTCACCTGAATCCCTGCAACTGTAGAGGAAGTGACTCTGCATAATAAGCAGAGCTAGCAGGTCTTGAGCCTTTGCCCATGATCCAGGCTCGGCTCCAAGCACTTGATTTGTCTTAACTTGCTCAGTTTTCACAATGACCCAGTGGAGAAGATGCTCTTTCTGTTTTCCTCATTTTCTACAAGGGGAAAACTAGGACTGGGAAGTCCATAGTAATGCAGCTAAGAAGTGGAATGACAGGACTTGAACTCAGTCCACATGGCTCCAGAGTCGACAGAAATCTGCATGGGGCAGTGATGGAGAAAATATATCGAGGTCTCTGCAATGCAGCCAGTCTGCCCAGTGCTAAAGGCAAATGGCCTGCCTGGGCCAAGAGCAGCTGGCACGGCACAGCTGCCAGAGGTCTTCATGGACCCATAAGGCAAGTGTGGATTCTAAGGCATATGCTCCTTAAAAGAGAAACTTAGAGAAATGAATGCATTACTCAACAGAATAAATCTCAAATTGGGGATGTTCAAGAAACTGAAAACAAAGGGGAAGAAGTGGAGGAAGGGATGTTACATTGTGGGGTTATAATCAATGGCATGAAACACGATGTCTGTAAATTGTTGAATGGGAAACATGATTTGCTCTTTAAAGCTTCACTTGATACACTTAAAAAAAAGAATTTGTGGGGGATGCTGTGTGGGCCAAAGACTGTTTTCTAGGTATAACAACCTCCCAAACAAACATACTAACACAACACAAATAAAACAAATAAACAAACAACAGATAAACCATATAAAAGGTCAACATGCAATCAAGTCACCTCTTCTGCCTGTGGGTAGAACTGACATTGAACTCTAGAAATGTTGTTGATGTTGTTAAGTGCCATCAACTTGGTTCCGACTCATAGCGACTCTGTATAGGGTTTCTGAGGAATGGCTGGTGGGTTTGCACCACTGACTTTGTGGTTAGCAGTCCACTGCTTATCCTGCAGCACCACATCAGGACTCCTTAAACAATATTACTGTTAAGTGCCATTAAGTGGATTCTGACTCACAGTGACCCTATATAGGGTTTCTGACCTTGAACCACCGATCTTGTGGTATAAATCGACCTTGGATTCCAGTGCATTAACCCACAATGCCATACCAAGACTCCAGCTCTAGAAATAAAAGGCGGTATATCAGAGGGAGGGAGCCCTGATGGAGTACACAACTACGTGCCACTGCAGTTTGAACTCACCTAGTACAGTTCTGGTGTGGCACTATGGGCTAATGCACTGGGCTGCAAAGTCATTTGAACCACAAGGTTGGTGGTTCAAGCTCGCCAGATGATCCTTGGAAACGCTATACAGGGTTGCTTTGGGTCTGAACCAACTCGCCAGCACTTGACAACAACAGTGACTCTGTGGGAGTCCTGGTGTGGTGCTGTGGGATAAGCTCTTGACTGCTAACCATGAAGTCAGTGGTTCAAACCCACCAGCTTCTCCTTTGAAACCCTGTACAAAAGGACTTAGAAAGTCAGAACTGACTTGATGGCAATGAACAACAACAATTGTTCTTCAGGAGAAAGACCTTGCAGTGGGACCCTATAAAGATTAAGGTCAAGAAACCCCATGGGGCAGTGTTACTGTCATATGGGGTAACTATGAGTTGAAAGAATTTGGTGATGCACACCACCACCAATAGTTATAAAGGACTCCAAAATATAGGAGTGTTTTCTGTTTCTTTATATCTAATTTAATGACATCTTTCAAAGAAGGAAGACTATGTTTACCATGTTACATACATATCTATGTTGAAAATTTATTCAGACACTGTGATGGGGCCCAGGGTTGGGAGGGTCTCCATGTCTCCTTCCTGAAGTCGATAGAGAACTCTGAGTGGAACATGTGTTCAGCCAGCTTCCTGTGTGACATCACTTCTTCTTGAACACTTGACGACACACCTGGCCACTGCAGGTCAGCTCCTGTAATATTAAGAAAGCGGTGTGAGTAGGCAGTGGGCCTGGCCTTCCTTCTGCCTAGCCCCCTGTCCCCTTGGTGTCTGTGAGTGGGCTGGTGGGGGTGGCCAGATTAGAGGACGCTTAGTTATTCTGGGCAAAGTGTATTTTACAGATCCCATCAACTGACATGCCCTACAGGTAGCAGTAATTTGGTTTTGACATTTGAATTGAGCCTGAACAACTATAAACATGAAAATTGCTAAGGAATTACCCTCTTGGGTGGGATTTCACCTAGTCCTGTGATTAAAGTATGACCTAATTTATAATAAGCCATGAAGAGGGTTTGGTAGGAAAAGCATTTGAAAGTCAAGGGCTTGGGAAGATGCTGACTAGTGATCCATCCTCTACCCTGTGGGTTGTGTGGCCTCCAGGATTATTGGTGACTGAACCACAAAGACAGGGTCTGAGCTACTGCCAGTGTAAGACCAAGTCTTAATCAGATAGAGGAAACCATCTGTCTCATCAGCACCTCCTTATCAGTGGTCCTTTGAAGGAGGAGAGAAAAACGTGAGTGTGGGGACGCGCACCACGATCATGACAGGTGGCTATGAATCCATTGTCGCAGCCACGGAAACCAATGGCATTTGTACTGCAATTTAAAAAATCCATCATCTCAACCAGAGGAGCTAGGGAACAGCTTCAGTGGAGAACCACAGGGAATGTCTCACGTTTGTCACCAGGTGACATTACTTCTGAAAATAAGGACCTCAGGTACAGCATGGCTGGCTCTGAAGGGCACCATGGTGACCTGAAGACTGACATTGGAGTCTGACTCCACAGGTGAATGAGTGAATGACGATCCATTTACGAAGGAGCCATCCATTAAGTGAATAAGAAACTTAAGGCACGCATGAATGAATGCGTTTTCACTCTTTGAATGCGGGGTTCATAATTTGCCTTGAAGACTGAAGAATGAAAAATTAAGTTGTCTAGCTAGATGTCATTTATTTAAGGATACCAGCAATTGTTCCTACTGCTGTGTTTTACTACTAAATTTACCTAAACTATTTAGGGGTCCTGTGGACATACCTTATGATGAGAAGTCAATACCTGTGGTCTACACGTAATTCCAGACCCAGATGCTCCCTCCCTAGCCCATCCCTCCTCTCTTCCAGGCTCCCACAATTGTGAGAAGGCTGGGGTACTCTCTAAGGTGTCTTAGCTCTGGGTTCCTATTTCTCCCCAGCTGGTCTTTAGCAGGTTACCTGCATTTCTTCTTGGACCTTAGCTTCCTAACTCAGCATTTTGAATTTTCCTTTTAATTGCAGCTATTCACAGAAACAACCATATAGATTTCTTCCTGCAGAGCCCAGAGCCAGATGAAAATGGTTTTCTACCTGTATGACCACACTTTTGGTTGGAGCTCAGTGGAAAAAAGCAGGGCCATTTTTCTTGTCACAGAGTTTAGTGAGGTGAGCACAGTAGTTTGTTTGAGCACAGTGGGTAGGAGCTGGGTGGACCCTGGAACTTACCAGGTACAGCTTGTCCCCCTCGACCCACTGCTTCCAACCACGGTTCTCCTTCTCCCCCTTCTGCACACACACGAGGACATCACCTTCCCAGGTCACCAGGGACTGCAGCGACAGATCCACAGGCAAATCAAACAGATGTTTTGCAGTGCTGAACAAACCCCAACCTGTAGCTAGCTGCAATTCCGGCTGCCGTGCCAGGACTCCTGCTGGCCCAGGGGACAGGGTCTCAGCCTGGGCCAAGCCATGACCTTCCCAGTCTCATTCCACCTCACCCTCCATTCCAGCCACATGTAGGACTCCTTGGCTCCTCTGTGAGGAATCCTGAATTCCATTATTTTAAAAGGAATTCTACTCTTCTATTTTGTGGAGTCCTGGTGTGGCATTGTAGAAGAAGCACCGGATTGCTAACCGCAAGGTCAGCAGTTCAAACCAACAAGTGACTCCCTGGGAGCCTTATACAGGGTCACTATGAGTGGATGAAAATTAACAGTAATGCTTCATTTTACCATGTGGGTAAAAAGATAGCATTTCAAATCAGTGGTGGGTAAGATAATAAATTTGACTACGTGGCAATGTAAAATTTCTGGGAGGGAGAAAGTACCACAAAACCAGTAGGTAAATAATAATCTGGAAATAAAATCTGATTTCCTTATATCTAAAACTCAAACCCAAGCCCTCTGCCACCGAGTTGATTCTAACTTCTGGTGGTGGTTATATGCCATGGAGTCGGTTCTGACTCATAGCGACCCTATACAGGGTTTCCGAGGCTGTAAATCTTTACAGGAGCAGAAAGCCTCATCTTTCTCCCATGGAACAGCTGGTAGTTTCGAACTACTGACCTTGCAGTTCACAGGCCAATTCGTAACCACTATGCTACCAGAGCTCCTTAATTCTAACTCATAGGGACCCTGAATAGGACAGAATCGAGCTGTTCCTAAGGACTCCAGTGAACCAATAAGGAAAATCAATGAAGGACATGAACCAGTGGTTTACTGAGAGGACAAAACAACAACCAAGTGTGACAGATGACTTTTAAGTATAAGAAAGGATAGTTAACATCACTTTTAAAAAGAGAAATGCAAATTAAGACTTTGTTTTTCAGATGCAATTAGTTAAGTGACTAAAGATCAAAATGTTTGGTAATACATTGAGTTGCAGAGTGTTGAGAAACAAGCATTCTCCTACTTGTCTAGAAAAAGTACAATAAGCTGGTATCCATTTTTTGAAGGGTGTTGTTGTTAGGTGCCACCGAGCCCATACAGACTCATAGCAACCTTATACACAGCAGAACAAACCACTGCCCGGTCCTGGGCCCACACTTGAGCCCATTTGAAGGGTTGTTGTTGTTAAGTACTGTGGCGTTGGTTCCCACTCATAGTGACCCTGCACAGGGTTTCCAAGGCTGCAGATCTTTATGGGAGCAGAAAGACTCAACTCTCTCCTGTGGAACAGCTGGTAGTTTTGAACTGCTGACCTTGAGATTCGCAGCCTGATTCGTAACCAAGGAGAGGGTTTAAAGAAGTTGGTGGAAAACTGGAATGAAAAGATAATGGGATTTTCCCACAAAACTTTGAAGCCCTCTCATATCTACTCTTTGACTTAGAAATTCCACTTCTGAGAATTTAACGTCAGGAAGCACATTGTGAGGACTGTCCACTGCAGACAGTAAGAGAGGCAGGGAAGCTGCCCAGCTACGCAGGATAAAGTGGGTCTTCTCCTGGTCCCTGGCTTCCTCTGGGCGGTGATGCCAACTGCTTAGCAGCATAGAGGAAGCAGTAGAGATGCTGAGTCCATGTCCATGGGGTACAATGTACAAGCAGGCTGAGCTGGCCAGCAGGTTGGAGAAGCCACATTCCTACTGAACCCCATGAACACTCAAATTCATGCGCATGTTTTCACAAATTATATAATTCCTCGAAGTCTTCCTATTTCTTACTTCTCTCTCTCAGCATCTGCCTAAGGTCCCTGGGTGGCGCAGTTTACAGTTGAAACACTGGAATGACTGTAGGATAAGCAGTGGAGTACTAACCACAAGGTCAACATTTCAAACCCACCAGCCACTCCTCAGAGATCCTATATTGTTAAGTGCAGTCAAGTCAATTTCAATTCATACCAACCCCGTACAGAGTTTCCAAGGAGCGGCTGATGAGTTTGAACTGCTGACATTGTGGTTCAAATCGGCCTTGTGGTCCAGTGTTTATCTTACAGTGCTATACCAGGATTGTTATGAGTTGGAATCAACTTGACGGTGCTTAACAACTAATGTAGAGGTTGGGGTTTGAACACATACAGCAATACAACAGAAGAAAGGCCTGGTGATTTGCATCTGTAAATATTACTGTCAAGACCATCCTATGGGACAGTTATACTCTGTGCCGCATGGGATCAACATGAGTCAGAACTGACTGGATGATACTGGGTTTTGTGCTTGCCTTGGAGTCTATTGTTGTTGTTGTTGTTGTTAAGTGCCGTGGAGTCGGTTCCAACTCATAGTGACCCTGTACAGGGTTTCCGAGGCTGTAAATCTTTACAGGAGCAGAAAGCCTCATCTTTCTCCCACAAAACAGCTGGTAGTTTCGAACTGCTGACCCTGATGTTCGCAGCCCAATTCATAACCACTACGCTACCAGAGCTATAGGGGTTGCAAATAATTGATTAGCTCAGCTGTTAGCCAAATAGTTAGACGTTTGAGTCCACCCAAACACAAACAAACCAAATCTACTGCAACAGAGTCAATTCTGACTCACAGCAACCCCAAATAGGGTTTCTGAAACTGTGAATCTTTACGGGAGCAGAGCGCCCCATACTGCCCACCTTGTGCTTAGCGGCTCGGTCCGTGCTGCCCTTTCTCGAGGCTGACCCTGGCACTAGTTGATTTTCTTCCTAGTCTGTGCAAAGCATATTCCACCTCTATGAACAATATTATGCTACGGGCCAATTGTTTCCTTTCCTCTAGATCTTATAAACCCAACAATTTGTGATAAACTAGCCTATGTGTATCCTTTAGGTTTTTTGTTTTTTGTAGAAGCCTGTTTCCTACAGATTGTTAAATCTACCTATTTCTAACATAATATTTGACCTTGGCAGCATTTTATATTTTTTATGTACAATTTATTCCTTCTCATTTTACTCCCCGATGCATCGCAGCATTGTTGTTACAGCAGAGGACTGGAAGCCTCATAAATTCTGTCAGTGGGTGGCTGATTAAATATGGTGTGGTTCATCCTTGCGAGTCAGCCATTGCAAGGAGACAGCAGTTCTCCACTTATGGAGAAGAGCAGTCTCCATGGTGTATTGTTCATAAAAACAGGGAGCAGGGCCATGTGCACAATGCAAGAAAACAAGGACAGGGCAGGGGCTGGGGAGGGGGGAGGCTACATGTATGTTTGTATATGTAGGCAAGAGAAATACTTAACAACAGAGATCTTCAGAGAAGGAACTGAGGGAGTAGGGACAAGGATGGGAAGGAAACTTCGGATTTTACCGCTTTGATTGTTTTTAGACCATTTGTGTGTGTGTATCATTGTTGTTAGTTGCCATCGAATTGGCTCTGACTCACGGTGACCCATGGGATGCTTCCTGCTCCCACACCATCCTCATGGTCACCAGCATGCTTGAGTTCAAGGTAGTCTTCTGACCCAGGGGGCTCATCTTCTAGCACTATATTGGACAATATTCTGTTGTCATTGGTAACAGTGTGTTGACTGACGTATTTTTGAAAGTAGATCGCCAGGTCTTTCTTTCTAGCCTGTGTAAGTCTGAAAGCTCTCTTGAAACCTGTCCACCTTGGGTGATCCTACTAGTACAGATAGACCTCAACTTAAAAAGGGGTGCCATTCTGGTAATTTCATTATAAGTTAATTCTGATATCAGTTGCATCTCTCTCTCTCTCTTTCTAAAAAATTTTTTTCATTATTATTGGCATTTACAATCAGTATCGTTCTAAATCTGATATCTTAACATCTGAGTCGCTAGTGACCCATAGCAACCTGTATAGGATTTCCGAGGAGCAGCTGGTGAGAATAAACCACCTGTCTTGCAGTTCAAATCAACTTTGCAGTCCAGGGCAATAGCCCGTAGTGCCACATCAGAATGCCACACCAGAACTCTGAGAATGATCACATTAGTAAATTGCATGCTGTAATATTGTATGTAGTACATATTACTAATGCTCCTGCTGTTGTTAAGTGCTATCAAGTTGGTTCTGACTCATAGTGACCCTATGTAGGGTTTCTGAGGCTGTACATCTTTATGGAAGCAGAAATCCTCATCTTTCTCATGTAGAGTGGCTGGTGGATTCAAACTGCTAACCTTACTATTAGCAGCCTAACACATAACCCACTACATCCCAGGGCTCCTTTACCAATGATAAAATATGCCAAAAAACAACAACAGATGGTCATAAGTATGGTTCATCATAATTTGAGTAAGTCATAAATCGAGACTGGCTGAATTTGAACTACTGGTGGCATAGCTTCCAGCATCACGGCAACATGCAATGTGCCACAACAGGACAAACTGTCAGGCAGGTGGAAGCTGCGTGGATTACGATCCACCAAATTAATTTTCAAATAAAATTACACATGTTTTCAAAAGAAAAAATAAGTCTCCTCCTTCGGGGCCATTCTTTTTTCTTTGAATGCCTATAAGAAGCTCGATTCAAAGACTATACTTGCTCCTCTGGGAGAGAGATGTTGTCTGGAATATTCCCTGATGTTTTCCAGCATCAGTCTTGGACTCTGACCCAGTTCCCTCCCAAATAGATGAGAAAGCCTGGATGACAAGGATTTCTATCCACCCCCCAACCCTTATAGACTTACAGATCAGGAATTTCTACTCCCCCAACCCCGTATAGACTTACAGATCATGGATTTCTAGTCTCCCATCCCCAACCTCATATAGACTTACAGATCACAGAATATATGTTGATTGGATTAAAGTCTGACTCCCCCAATAAGCTGTTATTGTTGTTAAATGCTGTGGAGTCAGTTCCAACTCGTAGTGACTCTATATAGGGTTTCCAAGGAGCAGCTGGTGGATTTGAACTGCTGACTTCATAGTTAGAATCTAGTGCCTATCTTACAGTACAACACCAGGGCTTC